TGTAACTAGCTGTGCTTCGCAGTGTTACCTGCGGTTTATTGGGGACATTTTCCTGTAGTAAAATAGCCTAGCCTGTGTTAATCCAGGGTGTCAGCTAACTCCATACCAAATTTTATTAAAATCACTACAGCCATTTAGACATGTAGAGATAACAAACATACACAGTCACAAACTTTCGCCTTTATAATATTAGTGTGTTTTGTGTACCTTCTTCGTATAAAAACTTAAACCAAATCAAATCTTTTACTCAATACCAAATACAGCAAAATACATTGGATACTGTTGATGAATGTAATTATCTATGACAGTAATGATTATTAAAATAAGATAATAAAATTTATAGGCAGAAAAAATGCCTACTTGCAAAAATAAAATCATAACTACAATTTATTTAACTTTTCATGATTAATCCACAGTTTAGTAAAATTTCCAATATATTTATTGAAAACTATGCTGTCATTTAGTGTGCAATATCAGTTAAATTTACAGGCAAGCAGTCAATGGTGTTCATTCTGGCATGATTCTCTAAACTTAAAATTAAATTTCACTTTGAAGTCTATAGAGTTTGAAAACAATACCCTGTTGTCAAATTTTAGAGAATCATGCCAGTATCGACACCATTAAGTAGGTACCTAAGTAAGCAGAGTTATCATAATCAAAAATGAAAGCATGCTAGGCAGGTACTTAATGATAAATAGGGATAAAGCAACTTCCAAATAATGTAATGACTTAGACATAACCCTTCAAATACAGTAATTAGAATAAAGTTGGCAATATTGCACCTATTGGATGCAGAATCACAGTGTGAGCAGTCGGTTCGTACCACACATACAACTTGTGTATGTATTGAATACAAATAGAATTTGTAGGTAAAAACATCCAAAATGCCAACCCCACATAAAATAACTTACTCAGTGTTAATTATGTATTGCAATATTTATATAATATACATATTCTTACACCTAAGATAATTTGAATTATCAGTTATGATTAGGTATTGAGACAGGATCCTGAAGTTAATTTTTTAATGTAGATTTTTCTGAGATAATCAAAATCCAGCCAATAAATACATCAATCATTCAATTTTATAACCATATGTGACAATTGTTTAGCTCTTTTCCAATCTAGTAATCTAATGTAGAACTAAAATAATTTCCAAATTAGATTCCTAGTAAAGGTATCGAAAAACTTTAATGTTACAAAACATATTAGCCCATTAATTGGTAATTAATACCTGGTGGTGTATTTTCTGTTGTAATGACAGTTAAAATCACAAAAGCAGAAGTTTATTGTAAAGTGAAAAATTACAAGCATAAAAGGATCTTAAAATGATATTTACATTGTCATTACTTAAAAAGTATGATGAAAAATATACACCTCAGCTTTATTTACCTCACTTACAAAGCCACATTTACAGTTTGACATGAACTTCTCTACTCAGCATTTAAGAACTTAACCTTATGGAGTAAAAGGGAAAAGTTATGTACTTGCCTGGCTCTCTCGAGGGCTCCATCCTCTGCAATTTATTTATCGTCTAGAATACTTTATACCACTTTCATAAATTAGTACAGTGGCAAAGATGAACCTGTCAGTAACAAGGTCGTTGAACTAAATATACCTATAGATGAGTTAGTATTCTGTGATACACGGGTATTTCACGGTCGATTAAGACATTTGGCGCACAAATTTTATTAGATTTTAAATTATGAAATGGCTACTAATTTTATTATACCGTTATTTTATGCAAAACTAAAAGAATTTAGTAAAAACTACAAACATGACTTAAAGTAACGCGTCACGTCACGGTGCTTTTCCGTTTCGTTATTACGCTTCGACTAGGGAGTACCAAATGTCTTCAAACATCGAAACGAATAAAAGTTGATAATTCAACTAAGTATTTAGGGATTTACAAATAATTATACTTTAATGAAATAAAGGACCTAAATGCAAAATTTTATTGAATTTTTAAACGTTGCAATTTGGAACAAAACGCGTAACCTGTCAATGATTCTTTTTATTTTTTTTTGGTTAAGTTCTCCCTTTTCAGGGAAGATAAGGGAAACAATGCCCATACAGCCTAATTCTGTTTTTCTTTTTACATTAGAATGTCGGTGTGACGCATTCTAATGTTTCTTGAAGTGTTTGGCACGAAATGTATCGAGCTGGCTTTTTCGATAAGCTTCTGTGAGGTAGTCAATACTACAATAAAATTCTCACGTCCACTTGACCGGAATAGCGTATATTTTGACGATTCTACTAATTCTTCAGTTATGCAGACAGTTGTAACACAAAATCACACCAATTTTATTTCACAATATCCACTATGAATGAATTTAAGAATAATTAAAATAAGACGCCAACCACACTCGATGAAATCCCGCCAAAAAACTCTCTGATTTTTTTTATTTATGTTATTGTCAATGACAAAAAAAAATAAGTCGACACATTCTTATTTTCAATTTATTAAATTAATCAATGAAAATCAGTCTTATTGCCTTTTTACAAATATAATAAATCTATACGAATTGTCAACTATTATAGAGTTCAACTTGGTTTAAACCTAACGCTGTCTCTGTCCTTTTTTAGCAAACAAAGGTGTCGATTCTAGCATGATTCTCTAAACCTAAAACTAAATTTAAAATCAGTCTATCTATCAGATAAGGATAAACTGTTGTCAAATTTAATTTTAGGTTTAGAGAATCACGCCAGAATCGACACCATTGGCGTCAGTATCACTTTTGTGATAAGGTGGAACTAGTTCAGAAGGATATGCAGCCACGTTTTCATTTTTTTACTTTCGCCCACAACAACGGCCAACTATAGCCGAAGTCTGACAGTCAGTGACGTAATCTTCAAGGGGGAGGAAGAATTGGGGGGAAAGGAGGGTCAGAGGGGAAGGGGGGTCAAGGGAACGCGACCTCACCTCACACACACCGAAGAAAGTCAATCTTACGTGTCATTATGATATGTGCGTACATTCGGTGTTCATCGATTTATAATAAGACGTTATCACGTCAAAAAAACATTCTTTTGTTCTATATATATATAATACGAAAGTGAGTTTGTTTGTTTGTTACTCAATCACGCAAAAAAGTCTGAATGGATTTGAATGAAATTTGGCACACATATGTTTACTTTATCACCTGGATGAATTGACACATATTAAGATACTTAACATCAAAAAAAAATGTGTTCCTACGGGATTCTCAAAAAAAAATAAAGTAAACGCGGGCGAAGTCGCTGGCGGCCGCTAATACCTACTATATAAAGTTTTCATATCTACATAGTAGACCAAAAGGACTACGAGAATAATAAACATGCAATAATTTATAAACCAATTTTTTAATGTTACGGACTAGTGCGAAATTGTTATACACGTCAAGGACAATTTCCTAGCCTAGTCCTTTTTGATTGCCAGTCATGATTCACTAAATATTTACTAAATCTATGATCTAAAGAAAATATAAAATTTAAATTTATTTATTTAAATTAAATCTACGATTTTGCCATTTATAATTTAAAAATAATAATTGTATTTTAATGGTATTTTATTCAGAACTAGCCGTGGCCTGCGGTTTCACCCGGGTTTTTCTCGTTTCCGTTTCCACGTATTTCCATACCGAGATAAAATATTGCCTATATTATAGCTTCTCCCAATAAATGGACTATTGAATATTTAAACAGTTTTCATATCAGATCAGTATTTCCTCAATAATTATTTTGAACACAAAATCGGTTATTGTGATTAAACCATGGTAGCTAGTTAAATGTTCTCGCTGACTTTTTTGTAGGTCTTAATGGGATCTACAAACCCATAGTACATCATTTTGTTCTATTGTCAATAGTTTTTGCAGGGTATGCAAAAATAGGTTTTCGATTTTACACCTTGTGTTACAAAATAGCAATTTTGTTACGGATCCCTAATTTTGAAAAAAAAATATAGCCTATAGCCTTCCTCGATAAATGGACTACCTAACACTCAAAGAATCATTCAAATCGGACCAGTAATTCCAGAGATTACCGCGTTCAAACAAACAAACTCTGCAGCTTTATAATAATAAGTATAGATTTGTAATTGTCTACCTACTGTCTTTTTTTCCGGAAGCGTTTCTCTTACATTGGTGTAATATTTTGATTCTTTTTTCGTGGTTCTTAAATTCTTTACCTAAGAAACTAGGTATATATTAACTGAGAGACTATTGTTATTTTCGATTAAATACTCGACAAACCTTACTCATATTATTCTATAAAAAACTTTTGTACCTTGCTTGTGTTTTTGGAACTCAAGCGATAGGTAGGTATGTACTCTACATTTTCATACATTTATTTTGGTTAGAAACATATTTATGCCTTATTAAACACGTTGGAGAGGAAAGATGTCGTTCTGGATGTAGTTCCTGGAACATTACGTTCCGGAACTACACATGTCTAGTTTTTAGGTGTATTCCGAAATATACATCAGTATACTGGCCAGTGTAATGATGTCATGAATCCGACGCCATATTGTACTGGTATGCTACCATATATTTACCGGGAAAACGAATATCACGTATGACCGAGCGTGCGTGAGAAGCATTCAATTTTTTATTTCTTTTTTATATAAAGAACAATAACGGCATCCGAAGAAAAAGAATTCCTTTTAATTGATGAGGTGAATAAAAAATCTTCTTTATTCGCACTATTTTTAGTAATATTTCGTCGATTTATGACGTCATTGCACTGGCCAGTATATTTCGGAACAATTCACCAGTATAACGTCGATTCATGACGTTATTAGCACTGGCCAGTATACTGGTATCTATTACGGAATACACCCTTTTAATTCAATGTCAATTATAAGAATAAAAAAAAAATATACCGGACTTTATCGAACTGAAGAAGTTATATTGAATTTTAATAATAAAAAGGAGAAAAATAATTAAGGATGAGGCAGTATGGTCCCTGACCTTAGCCTGTCCGAATGGACAAAAAAAACGATGTCAAATGTCAAACGTCAAACTACACGTTTTGCGTCGTCAACTAGTTGTTCTCTTTTGCAATAAATTACGATTGTTTTTTAGTCTAGATCATTTTCATTGGATGAAGCAAGTTAATAACAATAAGCCAGCCAATTAAATATCATTTTGTTAGAAAATGAAAACTGTATAGTAGATATATAAAGTGACCGCCACTGAGCAAGTAATCTTTAGATAGTGACCGCGTTTCAAATTTAAACTTTTATACTGGAATATAATTATCTGCAGAGGCTCATTAAGTGCTTGTGTTCTCCTTTAAAGTGTTTGAATATTGTAAGTAATTTTAATACTCATATCCAGTTAAATTGGTTAGTTGAAAACGTAGTCTAAATAATAATGGAAAACACAACAGACTTCCAATACCCTCACACTTTTATTCTACTGGGAGCATCAGGAGATCTAGCAAAAAAAAAGATTTATCCAACTATATGGTATCTCTACCGTGACAATCTTCTTCCGGAAAAAACTAAATTTATTGGTTATGCTCGTACTAAACAATCTGTAACAGATATAAGAGAAAAGTGTAAGAAATATATAAAGTTACTCCCTGGTGATGAAGAAAAGTTTGAAAAGTTTTGGCAATCTAATGATTACTTTTCTGGCACATATGACAAACGTGTTGATTTTGAAATGCTAAATCAGTTAATTACTAAGTTTGAAAAGGGACCAGTTGCTAACAGAATTTTCTATTTAGCTGTACCTCCAACAGTATTTGAAGATGTAACTGTCAATATAAGAAATGCTTGTGTATCAATTAAGGGTTTTACTCGAGTTATAATTGAGAAGCCATTTGGAAGAGATGATATATCTTCTAGTAAATTGAGTAATCATCTAGCTGGTCTATTTAAAGAAGAGCAAATGTATCGGATTGACCACTATCTTGGCAAAGAAATGGTGCAAAATCTAATGACTATACGATTTGCAAATCAAATTTTTTGTCCATCATGGAATAGAGAAAATATTGCCTCAGTTCTCATTTCATTTAAAGAACCATTTGGTACAGAAGGCAGAGGTGGATACTTTGATGACTTTGGAATTATAAGGGATGTTATGCAAAATCACCTTCTGCAAATTTTATCTCTTGTTGCTATGGAGAAACCTGTATCTTTAAACCCTAATGACATTCGAGATGAGAAAGTTAAAGTGCTTAGGCATATTCGTCCTATTAAACAAGAGGATATACTCATTGGCCAGTATGTTGGCAATCCTGATGGACAAGGAGATGAAAAGTTGGGTTACCTTGATGATCCCACTGTTCCAAAGGACTCTGTGACACCAACATATGCTTTGGCTACACTTTTTATAAATAATGCTAGGTGGCAGGGTGTTCCATTTATATTACGATGTGGTAAGGCCCTTAATGAAAGAAAAGCAGAAGTAAGAGTACAATACAAAGACGCTCCAGGTGATATATTTAATGGCCATGCTAAAAGAAATGAACTGGTAATAAGAGTGCAACCTGGTGAAGCTCTATATTTAAAATTAATGAGTAAGTCTCCAGGTATGACCTTTGATCTTGTAGAAACTGAGCTTGACTTAACATACAGCATGCGTTACAGAGAAGCTGATGTCCCAGATGCATATGAAAGATTAATATTGGATGTATTCATGGGTACACAGATGCATTTTGTTCGATCCGATGAACTTACTGAGGCCTGGCGTATTTTCACTCCTATTTTAAAGGAATTAGAGGAACAACATGTCAAGCCAGTTCCTTACAGATATGGCTCTAGAGGACCATTAGAAGCTGATATGAAATTGGGCGAAAATGATTTCAAATATTCTGGTTCCTACAAATGGAAAAAACCTGTCTGTTAAAATTACAAATATAATATTATGGTGGTGGTTTTTATTACTGATTATGTTGATAATTTATAGTATCACAATACCTTCCATCCAGCCTATGCAATCATTCTATTAATACAAACAAAAATTATTTTTATTGTACCTAGTAAGAGAACAAAGTAATAAGGTCACTCTAAGGTCATTGATATCCTTAATTATTAAACTTAGTGTGTGTGCATACATACCTTTCAAAGTATTTAGAACTGTAGTTTGTAATTTAAAAGTTACATACATTAGGTTGTGTAAGTGCCTTAACTACATGTAGAAGAATATTTAATCTTTCAAAAATCATTTTAGTAGAAGTAAATTCTGTGATATTCATCTACTGTAGAACATTTATTTATAATAAAAATACATATTTAGTACGATACAAAGCTTTGCAATTCATTTACAATCTTAGTGGTTGAATTTAATGTTTAATATTTGACTTGTGTTAGCATGACCATTATACTGTTGTCAGTACATGGATTAATCGAAAGTTATCCATTATTAACATAAAATGACATTCAAAAGACCTTTGCAGGTATAACAAATAGACTGTGAAAGGACAACATATTTTTTATATACTTAATAGTTTTTCTATAAGCTGTACTCTTGACATACTTAATGAGTCATAAATGATGATAATTATAACTAATGAAAAAATTATAGTCAAGCTATTTATTTAATGTCTTAAGCATTTACTAAACTGCTATAAAAATTATGTAGTTGAAAATTCTCATTTATTTTTATAAAATTGTTCAATTGTATTTGTTACATTGTATTAGCTCTTAAACTGGAATGTTTGAATGAGAGAAAGATGGTTCTATTGTTATGAGTAAATTCCATGCTGTAATTTTATATTTGTTAGAAAAAAAATCCACATTGTTTTCCGGTCATAGAATAATTAACTAGTACTCATAAACAAAAAACAGATATTGATAAAATTTGCTGCACAATTAAATTGATAAATAACCAATTTAACAACCACTATACAACACAACTCCAAAAAATAAATGATTTTATGGTTTCAAACATCAAGCATATTGTGTATTGTGACTTAATAATTTATTTTATTACCTTAATTGTTATAACTTATAAACATCACTGTGATGAATTTTTAATACTTAAATAATTGTTATAATGGAATAAGTACCTACTTATTTTAAGTAATACATTTTTATAAAAATGTTTCATATTTTTCAATCTCAATCTAGTAAGTATTATATTTTTTAACAATTTTTATAGAAAAGTTATACATATTATGCTTTTTGAAAATGTTAACATTTTTTTAACTTTTCGAAATAAATGTTACTTTTTATATGTATGTTTTATTAATATTTTCTATAACTCACATCACGTTAGTTGTTTTTGCATTCATTGAGCTAGAATCTAGATTATAATCATGGTTTCTGGTTTCATTAACAGCCGCAATTACGAGTGTTTTTAAGTTTCAAGTGCCTCACAGACGCGGCTTGCTACCGTGGCCGGGGTGGTGGCCAGTTGTAAGCGAGTGTTCAAACACGGCGAGCCGCGGTCGCTCTGTTTGTTAGACCAAATGAGATACTACACAGTAGACTCGAGGTAATCCGACAAACGTTTTAGTCGGAGAGCTGGCTATGAAAACGTGAACTGATAAGGTGTAGTAACGAATTATGTATATAACCTCTCCTTGGTAGCTTATAAGTACAGAGCGAGGCCCGTCAGAACTCTCTCCTGGGGCGGAAGGCGTGGGTGGTCGGTCAGTTAGAAATTTTCAATAAGAATGAAATGATTAGGTTTTTTAACTGTAGGAATCTTGGCAAATTATTGTCAGAAGTCTAGAGCGGGCTTAAAGACTGTCAGAAGTCGACAAAGTTGGAGAGAAATTGTTTAAATTAAAACCACAAGATGCAGTTCTGACAAATGCATTTTTATATTATATGTTGCTTATCGAACCTGTATAAATTGTCAGAAGTCTTAATAATGGCTAAGTACATAAAAAATGATGATATAGTCAGAAGTTGCTGAAGCGGCTATCGCGACGGAAAGCAACGTTTCGAATCTAGTTTTGAGTTAAAATAACAAGGTGCAGTTCTGACAATTGCATTTTTATATTATTTATAGCTTACCGAACCTGTACTTATATTCTCAGAAGGCTAAATAATGGCCAAGTACAGAAAAATTGATGATATGACCAGAAGTTGCTGAAGCGGCTATCGCGATGAAAAGGAACGTTTCTTCGAATCTAGTTTCAAAATTAAATAACAAGGTGCAGTTTTGGCTATTTATTTTTTTATCATTTACACTGTTCAATGATCAATCTGCAATGACAAAAGGTTAAGCGAGGGAGATAAAAACAAAAATGTGTTGCCGAGTAATCGATGACTTAGATGACGGACGTTAAAAAAAATATTCGTACCCAAAAAATTATAGAAAGTAAATAATACGAAAAATGAAATAAAATGGAGAAGTTTTGCCGAGAGTTTACAGGTTCTCTATGATAAGAAGTTACTGAAGCATAACATCCTTTTTTTTATTTCAGACTAGTGGTCCGCCCTCGCTTCGCTTCGGTGTAGAGCTGTAGTGTAGACTAAAATGACTCTTCACATAATTATAAACCTTTAGTGAAAATCAGACTTATTTACTAATATCATATAAAGCTGGAGAGTTTGTTTGTTTTTTGGTAACTCGCTCATCTCCTAAACTACTGGTCTGATTTGATTATTTTTATGCTACCTTTATAACATCACGCTAGGACCAGTAGAATCGGAGGATCGATGAAAAATGTTGCAAAAACGGGTAAAAATACTCCCTTTGTGAGCTTCCGTAGCGTGCGCTGGGTAAACGGTTAAAGTTACACAAAAATCATGTATTAAGGAGTTGTTTACTTTTAAAAGTTCTGCAAAAAAAGTCCGCGGAAGCATATGTCCATCTTATAAGTTTGACTCACTATAACCTTTTTCCTCAAATTAACGCGGGTGAAATCGCACAGGACCCCTAGTTGTGACATAACTGCAATAGTTAGACACATAATATCCACAATATCGCAGACTATTTGAAGATATTGATGTTCTCTATAAAAAAATAGCACATCAATTTGCTCTATTGCCAATGACTTCAGTAGCGTACGCGATACATAGTTGTCGATGAATTTCACATTTTTTTTTCACTGAACGAATTATGCAGTACTTGAATATTTTACCTACAGCTCCAGATTATTCGTTTTAATTTTATTGTATTACATCGTTGACTGTTAAAGGTAATTGAGGGCTCTCAAACCATTTAAATTCATACATTGATACTTGCTCTACTAGGCTCCAGATCCGTTGGAATGCGGAAGTGTGCATTTCTCCATACATACATTGCAAACGCAATGTATCTCGCTCTTTTATTTTACTGACGTAGTTCTGATTGGCAAGGAGGCAAATTTGAAGCATCGAAATTTTTCACTATAACTCTACCAAATTTCAGAATTGCACCTAATCATTTTTTTCTTATGGAAAATTTACGACTTTGACCGCCCACCCACGCCTTCCGTCCCGGGAGAGAGTTCTGACGGGCCTCGCTCTGTACTTATAAGCTACCAAGGAGAAGTTATATACATAATTCCTTACTACACCTTATCAGTTCACGTTTTCGTAGCCAGCTCTTAGACAATTTTGCAGGGCGATGTCGGATTACAGAGTACTGCCTAAGACCACCTCCTATAGTCCGGATTTTTTGGAATATGAGTACCTTTTATTCCGACAAAATAAAAATCTAAAAAATCAATTTCAATTGTTTTATGTGCAAATCAACGTTTCTGATTTCCGAGGGTGCCAGATTAGACGGGGCCCGGATTACCGTGGGTCTACTGTACCTATCTGATTTGACCGAGGGAGATATATACATACTTTAGTTTCAAGTTTAGAGAATCATGCCAGAATTGACACAAATGTCACCTTCATTGCGATTATTTCCAGAATTAAATTTATTAAATCAGAAACAAGCAGCTGTGATGGTCAATTCATGGTAGCGCAGACTTGAAGCGTATCGAAGCTAATTTCAGAAACAGTAACATGGCAAAAGCCTTATCTCCGCTTTATAATGCATATATTCTTTCCGAGCTGATTATCAGCGGAATTCTGTCGAATGCAAGCAAATTCACGCGTCTTCTTTTTATCTCAGAGGTAAAGGTGAATTTGCTTTGTAACGTTTCTATAATTTGCTTTCGATTCGCTTCGACTCTCCCCTGTATGGATGGATGTACGATGTATGATGGATGGATGGATGTAGTATGGATTAACCATATCCTAAGCTTTTTTTGAACTTGCAATGTTCCAAACCAAGAAAAAATTTGGGGGTCCGCATACTTAGAACAGAAACTCAAAAAAAATTTTTTTTTCATCTAGCCCATACGTGTGGGGTATCTATCTATGGGTCTTCAAAAATGATATTGAGGTTCACAATATATTTTTTTTCTAAACTGAATACTTTTATTACAAAGTGTTAAAATGTGCCCTCCCCCCCTGTAACTTATAAATAACTTCCACCGAAAATTGGTTTGAACGAGATAGTAAGTAGTTTTTTTAATACGTCATAAATCTCAAATCAATTTAAAAAAATACATAATAGCGTATTTTTTTTAAAACATCGATCAAAGTTACAACGAACCTTAAGAACTTCTATATTTTGTTACTTGCTGCTATGGAACCCTTCATGTGCGAGTCCGACTCGCACTTAGCCCCTTTTTTCTGTTATGAAACTGCGTAAATATTGCAGAAACTGGAGATCCACGTGGCCATTTTATGGGTATTAAACTTAGAGCATTTACGTGGTATATGTTCTAAGGTATTAAATGAAAAGACTAGCTGGAAAAAATATATTATAATTTTTAAAGTTTTCGATTATGTCCATCAATAACTAAAAAATAAATTAAAATTAAAAACGCTTTTTAAAAACAAGCTTTTATTTAAATGCGCTAGAAAGAATAAAATAAAAATTTCCCTTGAAACTTTGACTCATTACACACTTTATATAATACTAGCTGACCCAGCGAACTTCGTACCGCCCTAAAAAAATAGGGGTTGTCCAGCGGACAAAATTGTGAATCTAAACCAT